TTCGCTAGCGTCCGCGTTCGCGTCGCGTATAGCGAATGGCTCGACTCGCTGTACGCGACGCGACCGCAGACGCTAGCTCAATCCGCAAAGTCTGACATTGGCCTACAGTAGCGGATAAAATTCTGGAAATTTTTATCTGCAATCTAGCGAGGCTAATAAGCAACGAAATTGTCTAAACTCCACATTTTATTGGGTTAGTCCATAATTTCTACAACAAATTACATTTAATCCTAGAAAAATTCCCGAGAACTCCAAAAACTTCGCAACTTGCTTGTTTACGTTGCATCCCCTTTGCAATTTCTTTCAACCGACCAGCTCGTTGCCCCCTCTCTTTATGATATGGCTGTCACACCAATTCCGCAAAATTCTTTTCGAACCCTCATTTCTGACGAGTACCGTTGGGATTTTCCGCAAGACAGGCTACACCAAGGATTGACCAGAAGATGGGTTAGGGCACACTCCTTCAATCCACGTGCATCATTCGCTCACTCTGCTCAGCGTTGACTTTTTTATTTGAAGATGATCCACACTCCAACCACCCAGTGACTGGCAATCACGATGCTCTAGTTGACGCCATGAAGAGGATCTGGACATACTAGCTGTTCTTTGCTAGAGCGCTTCTGAAGTGACAAGTCAGAGTACTGACCTAACATTCCAAACTGGGAAGATCAGGAAAAATAGGGTTTGGATCGTGGAGTACAAGTTCCCCATTTTGACGGGCCATTCAAAGAAATCGGGTTTTTCTTGCTTATCGTATTGATTCTAGTTATGATACAATATATGTGATGCGGGCAATTTCATTATTTGTTGGTTGCGCTAACTCAAAAAAAAGTTTCCAAACATTTAACCGCTCATTTTGAAGGAGATAGATACACTGCTGCGCATAATGATACAGCCTCCTATGAATTTTACTGAAACTGATAAACGTTCCTAACTAATCTCCAACTGAGAGTATTACGAATGCATACGCATAAGCGAATGTAGATATAGATAGAATAACAAAACATTTCTAACACTTTTGTTGAAAAATTGCTCTGCGTACTGCTCAAACTGACAAGGCCATCCAAGGTTCTCCGTGCTATTTCGTTTTTGCTTGTTGAACTGCGTAGTGGTACTAATTTTATCTATGATTCATTTCGAATTTCATGATTTCAATTGTCAAACCGCACCTACCAAATCCAGTAGACGCAATTTGACACACAACTTACCTACTGGAGATACTTAACGATTTGAAGGTTTCGTTTTGGGCCTCCAGAAGCTTCAGGACTTGACAGCCATCGCAGAGTTGTATCTTAATCCAACAATACTTGTCTTTAATAAACAATGCTTGTCGAGATCTCAATCATTCAATTCTCACTTGCCACAATGTAACAACGATAACCTCGTTTGCAAACTCGATCGTACATACAGATAAATAAAAGTGGCATAGTGGTTGAGAGCAATATCGTCAAATAGTCCAAGAGCCAGCGAATCGATATCGATTTGCTCATCTTGCATCGGAAGGACGTCAACGTTACACCTAAGGGAAAAACTGATTTTTCAGCTTATGCACTATATATAGGTTGAATGATATGATGTGTGATATTTGGAATAATCATTTATTTTCAGAAATCTCATAGACCTGAACATGACTTCACCTAGCTGCTTTTCAAAAATCTTATGCGACGATAGTCAAAATGCACTTCGAGTCCCAATCGGCAACCCTTTCCTATTTCGGGACCATTACAGTGAGAGTCCATAATATCGATTGAAGGCAAGATTCAGGATTAAATTGATGAGTAATTTCACTTAAATGTGAAAGTAGGGGTAGGAAGTGGACCCCAGTGGAGAAAAAAGAAAAAAATCGTGAAATGCAGGAAATACGAGCCTTTTGCTCTACGCTGCGGAGAAGTTCAAAAGGCCGGCAGGGAGATGAGAGATAATGTGAGCGCGGAGAGCGCTAGAGAAGTACGAGTAGAGAGCATAGCAGATCAAGTTAGCGACGCAGACAAGATATCGAGCGGTGGGCGGAGCGTGTCGCAACAGGTGGAGCGTGTCAAAGTTCTTAGCGCCTAGCGTCTAAGTAACGCTTTTCGGAGTAGGGAAGTGAAGCGACCTCTGCACTTGGCGTACCCACCGCTTCTTCTTGCCCCACCAAATTTTTGGGGAGGGGGGGGTTCATTTTTAAAGACAAGAGTCAGGAAAAAATATGTGGGCAGATGCGTTTGAATACGACGTTTGAGGTAGACAGTGATCTGAAAACAAAAAAGAAACTAGACGAAACGCTCGGCAACATCCCGACCTCCGTTTAAGCCCTATTTCAACTTGAAATGTAGAGGGATTGGGTTTGGACGAGTTCTTACGGACGGATGGCCAAACTTGCTCCAGTGCAAATTGTTGGCTCTAAGCCAGAATCGATAGATGTGGAAATCGGCGCAATCGAGTAGTTTCTGCGGGATCCCTCCTCTTTCTCGCGATTTTTTCAAAAATTTTTCATTGTATTATGTTTCTTGTTTATACATATGTTTGACAATGTTGTTATTGTTTATAACTAGTGAAATGTAGGCTTCCGGTGCAGATTGTTCGGCATAAGTCCAACGACGCTTCACACCACAAACGGGCTGCGCGACATTTAGTTGCAATCTAACACTGCCGCTTTGGCGGCCGCACTCTTCTTGCAGCACCAACGTATCTCGGCCGCGCGGGGTGGGGCTTGCGGAATAGGGTGTGGATTGCGAGTAGAGCGAGCTTCCTGCACGTTTGTCGCGCACTTTCAAGCCGCAAAAAGTAGGCACCACATTAACCCTCGTTCGCCTGTCTACCGATTGCAGGGATTCAACAGGTGAGCTTGACTAATCCTGAATGCGCCTTACAGTGCGTCTCGCGAAGTTTGCCTTTGGATCTTACCAATGAAAATAAGTGATACAGTCGAAACAGTATTGAATCATACTTAATAACTTTGGTGACATGGATGTATATACAGTCGGTGCGTTGCTCCTTCCTTTGCGGCAACTACGCTTCTAATTCCCGCTTTTCACATATCTACCTCGCCTGTACACTGCATATCAGACACTATTCTAAGACATTGACGCTAGTGAGCCACTTAGTTTTGAAATTAACGTTTGGCTGCCACACATTCACGTGATCGGGACTGCACTGCATAAAGCATACGTCTCATCTATATGATTTCCAATCCTTTCTCACAGACTCCGTCATTCGGCGCCACACTTCACCTACAACAGCGCTTCCAACTTTCATTCGCCTCACCTCCATCACTTTTCTTTTCCCGTTTCTGCCACTATTGAAAGCAATTATTATGTCTTTGCAAGCCCTTAACGCACTCTCCACCGCCCAAGAGCACTTAACCCCTTTCTTCGCCAACCTCTATCCACTTTTTTCAGGTCTCCGGGACGTTCTTGGGACCGAGTTATGATGCTTCGTTGCAAACTCCGACCACTTTTGAGCATGTCCCGCCCACCCATAGCACCTGCCCACATTTCGTTGTCTGACATTGATCCATTTTTTCGTGGTCTCCGGGACTCTTCGAAAGCGGGTTATAGGTCTGATAGCAAGCTCCGCCCACTTTTGTTCACACCACGCCCACCTATAGCAGCCAACTTCACTTCCTTCGCTGACTTTATCCACTTCAAAGCCTGACGAAGGAATCTGATTTACACAGTAGCCTTACACCACAATGTTTCTGTAGATATTGCAGTTGCAATTAGAGAATGGCAAATTTCCTAGAAGCTGATTAATTTACTGAAGCAAAACCTTAATTAGACACATCAAAGAACTACAGAGCGATTTTATTTTAAAAAAAACTCGCATAGTGCGAATCCTTCCGTCACAATTTAGGATGCAACTTGTTGATCTAGCCTAATAAACTCTACCCAGGCGCGACAATAGAATTCGGCCCTTTAGCTGCTTGATTCCTTTTCGCAGATTGATCGTAAGACAAAACACGCCGCTCCTGAACATACAGCTCGAAAAGCGAGGAGGGCATCATTAACAACATCCATACTGAAACCTACTCTTCTACGTTCATCAGCTAACTGACGAACAGCAGCTTTTATATTGTTGATGAGTTTTTCCTCCTGTCCACTTTTTCGTTTCGAAGCCAACTAAAACCAGAATAATCAGTCGAGATCAGAAGAAAACTATTACAGATTGTTTTTGTTTCCTAACTGCTGTTTTTCGGCCTCACAATTACGCCGTGGAATATTTGCATATATGAGAAAATTATTCAGACACCTAGCATCTTTTTTGCTGAAACACTACAGATTGCCCTAAATTGTCACGCGCTCAATCCCAGTTCACGAAGAATAGTGGTCTCAGTGAGAAGCCATTCTATAATGAAGCAAAAAGTAGCATTCGCCGATTAATCCAATCCCTTTTAGCTCTCAAAAACATTCGCGTTTACACTGTAACGCTATGAGTGGGATGCGCAGAAATATCGAACATAGGCTACTAACAAGGAATGTCCTTCAGGTCGCCATGGCCGTTCTACATGAGATGTATACCACTCTATGCATTCTGACACGCTGATTTCGAATCTGCCTTCCAAATCTGCTAAACGACTCTCCGAACGGAGTTATGAAGCGTAATAGCTCAGTGGTGATGGTCCCGGGCTGGCAGGTCCTTTGCAAATTGGTTGCTTTGCTTTTGTCTCTAGAAGTGTTGCGGACAAAAGCAAAGCAACAAACTTGCAAAGGAACCGATCCTACGAGCTTTTACCTGCCACCCCGGACCATCACCACTGAGCTATTACGCTTCATAACTCCGTTCGGAGAGTCGTTTAGCAGATTTGGAAGGCAGATTCGAAATCAGCGTGTCAGAATGCATAGAGTGGTATACATCTCATGTAGAACGGCCATGGCGACCTGAAGGACTTTCCTTGTAAGCCCACGGGACAGCTTCTGTCCCTGACACTGTAGAAAGCAAAAATGGTCTTGTCGTCGAGTGATGATTTGGGTGAAGTTGTAAGCAAGAGGCAAATTGAGTACATCTAGATGTGCGCGTAATGGTTGTCGATAAGTGAAAAGTATGTATCGCTGGCGAAAGCTGCTCGTCCACGAAAGCTCGTAACTCTGAATGTAACTTCTTACCTCGCTTCATTGCACAGGGAAATACTTTGTTGTTACGTGCAATCGTAAACTGAGTCTGTGTGGAGGTTGTCTGCTCGATTTCTTCAAAGAATGCTTAGCCTTCACATTATACAAGTAGTGGAGATTATACATATTATACGGTAGGGCAGCAGTGGTAGTGGCAAGTGGCATGCTTACCACGTGCGCAGTCCGGGGATCAAATCCTGGGTCGTGAGTCGTCCGGCCAACCAAGCCTTGCACCCCTCCGGGAGGTCGGTTATTATAGGTACCACACTTGTCTAGAAGAATGAAATCAGCAACTGACTCCTACTTTAAATTAAACCATAGGAGGAAGGCTCATTGATAAACAGAGGCGACAGTAGACTTATATAAGTTTATCCTTCAGTAGTGAACTCCTTGTAAAGAGTCCGGAACTGACCTGGTGCTTTGCTCTTGTGCTGGTCCGAAACCTGACATTGCACGGTAAGTGCCCTTCTTGGGGCGGCTAGCGATGTTCTTGTAAAGCCACGAGTCAGGATTAGGTAACCATAGAAGGCCTTTCCATCACTAATATTTCCAGGAATGCGCTCAGAGGGGTGATGCCACACTCCTGACTCGAGATTGCGCGCCGTCAAGGCCTCTGGCCTACTACTTACAGCGATGGGTTCGTTTCATCAGCTGGTCCCGCCCACCGCGGGATGTGGTGCGTGGCTGGCCTAACGTGTGAGATCAGCTAGGTTGATTGCCGTATCAACCGATGGAACGGCTGGCATATCCGGAAAACTCGTTTGGACGTGGCTCTCCCCCGAGCAAGCCTCCTTCACTGCTAGAAGGGAAGGGGTTTCGATTTCGGTCTTGTCGACGGATTTCTTTGCGTTTTTTCTTCACTGTCGTTCCACCTCCCATCTCTACACTCAATTTCAGGCGCCATAATGCCCAAACACGAGCCTGACTTTGCTTAACACTTGAACTCCTATAAGGGGTAACGTGCACTTGCACTCCGCCCTATGTCCTAGCGAGCAAACTCGTTCCACCAGTTCATGGAACTACCAGAGGACAAGGCCTGGTATATGGACGAATCACATTGCATGATAGAGCGCACAGGCCGCAATTGTCCCGGCCTGCTCTGGCCGGCAACTCGTCCGATTATTCAAATATACTGTAACTCATCAATTGCATTAGATCATTAGTCGCTTTAAAGTGATCCTTTGAGCCCGCAAAAATTTAAACGAAACAAGAGTGTATAGCTTGTATTGGACTTAATGCCCAGCAAGAGGAGACGATGGAAATGAGGGTGGCCGCGGAAGAGTTGTTCCGCACAGTAATGAGGTGACGCAATTACGCGCTTGTGCGCTCCAATTCCAATGCCGTGATTGCACATATTAATGCACATGATATCAGCGGGCAGTAATTTAATCCTGCCCAGAGGGATGTATCCCCTCCTCGACTCATCCTCTGCCGGGGACCAAAAAGCCGGTGAGCGCTACCCTCCACTGATGAAGCACTCTTTCCCCTGAGGGGTCGCGCTGCTCTAACTGTCTGGCAGGTAGAAACACAGAGGTATGCTAGGTCCTATGACGCAACCCCTTTTTTGTCCCCCCAGAGGATTGAATCAGAGTAGGGGGATATATCCCCTGGCGCGGTGATGATATGCTTCCGAGGCTTGCGCAGGATCGAAATCCCTTAAATTTTGTTTTGAACGACACTGTTTCTTTATTCTCAATGCATGTTTACTTTAAGCAACACACATATATTAAATGTAGGCCCTTTATCAGGACAATCCCAGTTGGGACGACAGAGAAAATTTAAAGGGATTTTCGTCCCCTAACCCTTCGGGGAAGCATACCTTACGGCCCTGAAGAGAAAGGAGATTGATATACCAGCTACCACGAGGGAGGACTTTCATATAGAGCGGACCCAAGTCGTCGGCGACAGAACAGAACCAAGTTCGCCCCACAGCTACGGGGTGGTATCCGATCTGCGACACTGCGGTCGTTGCTGTCGTCCGCATTACGTTATAGCGTCCGCATAGGGCGCACGCATAGTCGGTCGTCCGACAGCAACGGTCGCAACTGTCTGACTGTCTGACTGCATCTAATCGTCGAATACTCAGGCAAGTCCGACGATCGATACGCATCCAATGCTGTGCGACACTTGCAGTCGTTGCTGTCGTCCGACCGACTATGCGTCCGGCCCTATGGCGCAAGCTCCGATTGCCATTCGCAGCATATTGTGCTAGCTATACGCAAGCGCATCCGCCTGCCAGAGTCAACCCTGCGTTGCGCAGTTCGCAACGGCACGTTGAGAGATCCTCAACGCACGCTGTATGGGCGGAGACACAGACGGCTCGAGCATGCGAGTGTGAATGTTCGCGCGAGAGAACGTGTCTAATCGGGCGAAACTGCGCAACGTGGCCGTTGAAGAACTGCGCAACGCAGGGTTGACTCTGCTCCCATATCTCGACCAAATAACTCGTCCGGATCACCGAACGAATAGATTATCGTGGTTGATCGGTCTGCAATAGAGCGCGCCAGAGTAGACTGGACTGCAGAGCCTCCCAAGTTCACCATTCTCGACTCTTCTTCCGGCTTCATTCTTGCGCTGAGTTCGCTCTGCACACTTCAAGAATGACTGTAGAGTTACTTCGAAGTGATTGTGTCACGATCATTTTGGAGCTGTGATACATTGCACTTCACAGCAACTTGCAGTGCATGATAATAATTTCTATACGAGGTAAGTATTGTTCAGTCCAATTGTTGAGAGAAGAGTGTTAAGTTTCATTATAGTCTCATTACCAAAGGTTTTTTTGGATAGCTCGCTTTCGTCGAATACTTCCAGGTAGGCATAAATGATGGTTCGCTAAGCGAATGACTTTTCCGATTTTCGCAGCGCGAAACTTTTTCACTGCGAGAATCCCGATTCCAGTTCTGATTAGCGGTGCACCTGGGGTTCCCGCAAATTTCCGCGCTGTGGAAAGCGGAAAGGTCGCCTTTTCTCCCAGCGAACTACGCTCCGTGAGAATCAATCGTTTCAGAGCACTGAAAACTATGTGACCATCGAGGGGGATCGACTAGGCAAACGAGCTTGACGGTTATTCACCCGAGAAGAAATAAGAGCATTGGGAGATGACAGTGCACCGTTTTGATCAGATCCCTTGGGAAGAAAAAATAGGAATTTGGGTATATTCCTGTAACTGCTTTTCCGCGCAATTTTATGGGAACATAAACGTAGAACATAAACAGCATGTATGTGGCAGCCCAACTGAGCCAACTAGTTTCCTAGACTAGGAACAATCTTTAGTTCAGTTTATACAAAATTTGTTTTGTGAAATCTATCATAATGACTTACCTTCTTAGCATGGTCGATAAATCTGTCCACAAAAGTGTCGATGCTGACCTGAAAATGAGTTGAATTGATTCTAAAGGAATATAAGTAACCCATCAACAGCCGCCGTTTTCCATCTCGACATCTTCCACATTTTCACATCAAAGTCATAACCTATCCAATAACTTCTTTATTGTTAAAAAAATATCAAAAAGTAGCAGTCTTTTTGGTTAAACCTCGCCCTTAGAAATGACTAGAGCTACTGATCACAGGTGAGATACTCATTTTCGTGCAATTTAGTTCCAGAATTCGTAAAAAGATGTCATATTTGGTATTCTTGTTGCAAAATTTGGTAGGTGACAGGAAGTAACAATTTATGAGTGGTGAAAAGAAGCATTCGATCGCAGGAGACCAGCTCCGTTTCGTCGTTCTGACAACAGCGTATTTTAACTTGCATGATCTATCCTCCCTTTCAAAAAACGAGAAGAGCGTCGGGTGCAGACCATACACCACAAGTGACGACGGCCTCCAAGTAAATCTGGTTAGTAGTGGTTCATAGTGATTTGTAAATGATAGTTGTAATTAGTGACAACTGATAGAATACAACTGCAACAGGCTAATCATTTCATTGGCAGAAAACATTTACATTTTGTGGACCGTGCACCCGACGCCCCACTTTTTGAAAGA